AATATAGGCTAGTACTGGAGGTGTTTAAGAACGATGGCAGATAACTGACTAGATTAACTGAAGTGTTAGCTAGCCTATGGTAATCAGATATGATCCCTTATGACTAGCTGCAAACACTGGTTGTCTCAGTCTCCAGTAAAGGTGAGAAGTCCTACTGTTATAACCCCAGAGGAATCAGTGTAATGACAATAATATCTAAGATTTCGAGTTCGATAATCACTAGAAGCCAAAGAGAAGCTGGAGAGCAGAAAACCTGAGGAAAGGGACCGATCAACAACATAGAACCAGGCTATACTGCGTTACGGTCTAAATTACTATATCGCATATCAGCACAATAAGAAACAAAGCAGTTAGATGGAAGATGAAGACAGAAAAACCAGTCAAAATTAGTAAAGAGCAGTAAAAACGATGAGAAGGGGAAAAGGCTGAATCCAATATAGCGGTTAAGACTAAGAGAATGTGTGGATACATCTGCACCACTAACATCGATTCTGAGCCATTTCACCCACGCTCTTCAACCACTGGTTTTTGTTATCACGTGGATTTCAACCAGCCAGTCTACATTTTCCTGTATAGCTCAAACCAACAATCAAGGTGTTCATGCACAAGTGCCATGTTTTAGTCTGATTCCCCCTAGCTTTTTTCTAGTTTGAGCATACTTCAGCTAACATTGCGTGACGAAAGAGACGGTGACTAGGCATGTGTAACACATGTAACGGCCATCTCAGTCGACGAAGGTACACGACCGTGTCAACTGACTTTTCCCTCCTAACAAAAACTCTGCACATGAGTTTAACGTTACTGACATGGTGGCACCAGGACACACGACCTACGCCTCGAAGGCAACGGTGGTTAAACACTGAAAACCTTATGTCCTCTCATTTAATGGTCATGTTTCCCAGCTATACAATGAAACAGCAAACTGCAGCATAGTACACTCGGCTCTTAATGGGCAACCGGATGTCGAGGCGGCACCATAGATGGTGTAAGTTGACGAAAGCTGATCGAACCTTATGTATCCGTGCAGAGATTTCGTCGGCTACTGAGCAACCAAGGTTGCCCCACTTAACAGGCAAGTGATCAACGCACTCTCTATTATTAGCCGGTGGATCGCTGAACACCAGTTCTGGAGCAATGATTTGCACTTCGGTAGTGAGAAACACATCCCAAACATTCTCAAATTACTACTGATGATTTCCAGAAGACTATGTCTTAACAGCGTATTCCCCTAACTGGACTGTCATCTGTGAATTCTAGATCTACCAAGGGTTCACCTGTGATTAGATCAATCCTTGTGAAGTCAGACAACGAGAGGAAGACCTCCGTAAGCACATCTATGAAAAAACTAAAAAGGAATCGAGATTAAGCATCCCTGATGAACACCACTCAATGTAAACAGCTGACCTGACAATTCGCCATAGGATCTAATACGCCTATGGATGTTAAGAGCCCTTAACGGAGTGATAGCTGGAAGCCAAATGAACTGTTCTTTGAAGTGTTCAGCCCATCGTCCCAGTTGTCTCCTCTGCAAGTGAGTCACAGACCCATCCTTCTACTCTATCGTCTAACTAACCGTTGACCGCTTCGCTCCAGCTTCCATCAAAAGCCAAAGTACTTTTCAACTGTAACCTATCACCACTGTTCTTTCTATCTTCTTTGGCCTTCGCTGGCCAGCATTATTCGTAGTCATTCAGCAAACTTTTAGTCAGTCTGCCCTTGAGTTGCATTCGCTCCCCCATTTTACTGGAAGCCTGCAGGGGTGCGTTGGCATATGTCCAATTTAGAAGCTGCTAATATCTAATGGCTCTTGTCAACCAGTCTCTAAGAGTCGGCTGTGCTCTTCAGAGCTGTTTCCACAGCAGAGTGGAGGTGGTGCCATGTTTCTCCTGGATGAGTGATATTATTGCGTTCCGATAAATGTCGAGCCAGTTTCTCACTGGAAGTGGTCTTATTGCTCTCATTGTCTATCTAAACTCGTAATAGTCTTGTTGCTAAAAATTCCCTACATTCATTGAGACGCAGACATCCTGCGTTCGAATTAATGCGTGATTGCTATCCAGACACGTGCTTCAGAAAAAGCGGTAATCTTCCACCGACCCTCTTTAACGATGACTGATGGGAATGTCGTCTCTGTGTCCACCACTGGGTTAGGCTCGATAGACGCCATGTCAGACAACGTCTCCTCCTTATGTCCGAATTTCGTGCTGGCTGCAAATAAATGAGTATTTAAGTAAAGTTGTGCAGGTGATCACCGTTATCTGTTGTTGAGGTTGGTATTCCGAAAGCGCTACCCAATTATGTGCCTTTCTATCTGACTGAGCCCACTAACTTGTGCACTGAAATCATCTGTAACAACTATCACGTCTGAGCGCTCGGCTTTCAGTGGGAGGCTAGATAGTTTTCGGTAGAACTAAATCTTCACTTCATCCAAACTTCAGTCAGTGGGTTTGTAAGCAGAGAATACAAAGCAACAACTGCGAGTTTCACTTATCTTTTTAGTCTTCACTGTGCTGTTCAGTAGAACAGCGCGTAGGTGACTGTCAACTAGGATCCATCTGAGCGGTGAATTTTCTAGTCCTCAATGTGCTATACTTACACTTGCAAAGGTCATGAGAACTAGTCATCAAATCTGCAGAAACTCGAAGGGTTAACTTTGTAGATTTACATATTGGACGGCTGAGGTTGAGTGAATAAGCGTATCTCAAAAACACACCACACCTCCATGGTTCGAGTTTTGAATAGTGAAGCTTATTGGCCGACTTGAAGAAGGGTATGGATATCAAACCCCGGAATGCGTAATTTGGAGCGCGGTTTCAAGAGAAAAAGAATACTGTTCTGTGGTTGTCGAGAGCTGCAGAATTAGAAGAAACTAAAGATGATGTAGGATGATTGATTGAGAGACTTGAGGGAAGATTAGTAGGCAAGTATATGGGAGGTTGACAGTGATCTGAAGGGGCTTGAATGCTGACTGTTATGAGAGTGGTTGACATTTCTCAGCTGCCCACACCGCGTAAGGTAGCCCTAACCTGAAAAAGAAGGGTTAGTGCGACACCGCAAAGCCCAACAGACATCTCCTTGAGGTTGCTCACACTGCCAATTTGAATTTCGAGATTTTGGCATGTTGCTTTAGAATCCTACTATGAACTCATGTTGCAGGCATCGTCATACTGCGGGGTGATGGGGGTGTGCTATTTTAAGAGCCAACCTTTTCTAACCCCCCTCCCTTCTCATACGGAAGGCAGTACCGGTGTGATACTGCTGCTCAACTGAGGGGAACACCTTACTGCAGTCACACCCCATCCAGGCAGCAGTACGGCTTCGCCGGCAAACTCCCCACTACAGCGTCCCAATTTACATTGTAAAGCCAAGTGCTTTCTGTCTAACCTTTCTGGTATGGTAGTAACCTCGTGGGAACAAGTGTTCCACCAGCATAGCTCGTCGAGTCATTGTGACAAACAAGTCTCATCACAAAGTCAAGATAGCCGCTATCGGTTGAATTCCGTTAAGTACTTGAATCTTTTTCCCTACATAACCATTCTTTCTATAACATTTTGAAGACTAAAACAGAAAAAAGATATGTTAGTTGGAGTCAGTTAGGAGGTAGCTCTGCTGGACCAACGTTTCGCACTTGTTGGTACTCGTAAATAAGGGGCGTCTACAACCTCAAGAGCGGTGATACACTCTAAGAGAATCGAAACTACGTCTCTCAGTACTGCAGTCAGAATTTACCACTGAGCTACTCAAGAACGAAACTTACGTCCACAACTTCTCGCGGATTGCCTCCAATCGACTAACAGGGTTGGTCACTGATGGATAACCTATCAGTGTAAACGAAGTTATATCTCATAAATTAAGGCTTCAGGTTTTTGACCACCGTTGCTTTCGTAGTATAGGCCGTATTCCACGGTGTCACCACGTGAGTAATGCAGAAGTCAGGAGTAGAGGTGAGTCAGTTGACGAGGTTATGAACCTTCATCGATTGAGATGGTTGGGACACGTACTACGTAGGCCTAGTCACCGATTGCCTTGTCACACAATGTTGGCTGAAGTAGGTTCAGGCCGGAAAAAGGCCCGAGGCGGCAGACTAAAACAAGACATCGACGTATAGAATGTTTGACTGTTGGTTTGAGCCATGTGGGGCGATGCAAACTAGCCGGTTGGGGTCCGCGGGACAAGAGGAACCAGTGGTTGGAGACTGTAGGGGATATGGCTCAGAACCGATGTCAGTGGCGCAGATGCATACACACATTATCATCTTAACGATGCTATACCAAATCTCACCATTTTCTCATTCCTCTTTTCTTTCTTCTCGTACTTAATATTTCTTTTGACTGCATTCTCTTATTCATAGGGTGCATCCGTAAGTCGTCACAGAACGGTTACTTAATTTCCTTTCGATGATATTAACGGACCAACAAACCGATCACAATAATTACAATTTATAAGATAGTAATTTCTGCAAGACAATACTTTGAATAATAATGTAAAAGTATATTGGAATGCAACGAAAAGGATTAATTTCGTCAATCACATAAATAATAAGATTTGAATAAATGTTCATCAGTGTGAAGCTCATTAGTGTGCCTGTGAATCTACCTGAGTTCATGATTCCATACAATCTGTAATTCATTGAAATATACGAGTTTTATAAAATGTTGAGGGCAAGTAACTTCGATGAAGATGATATATTCAAATGAAAGGAGAATCCGAAGATAAACCATAATGGTTTTGGAACCTAAAAATCATATTTCTAGTTATCATATATTTGGTTTATTTAATAGAATGACTTACGTTTATATGCGGATTATTCAATTATTTAGTTGGTCTTGTAGTTCTTTGGTGCTGCTTATGCCTGTCAGATACACGTGTGGTTTTGTGTGAATCAGGGCATTGAACTTCATGTATAGTATAAAAAGAATCTAACGATGACGGCAGACTAATTTTGATAGCATTGCAGAGATCAAGGAAACTGTTAAGAGTATTCACCATTTTTTGTAGTTTTACTGCTGCGTCAAAATCCAGTTTCTTACAGTACAAAAGTCTAGGAATCCATAATCGAGTAATCGAGTATCGTCTTTTTGAAGGATCTATATTGACCAACTGACTACATAGAAAGTGTACCAAATGTCCAGAAGGGAACAGTTTCCAAAATGGAACGAATGAAAAGTAGTTCGACTGCTTAACACTCGGCACGAGACAATTGAGAGACATAACAAGATCCCTGAGACAAAAATAGGTTGACTGAATAGCATTAAAACTGTGTACAATGTAAGGCCTGTATAAGGAAGCAGAAGCACCTGAAGTAATCGGCTCTGAAGATATTTTACTTAAGCTTTCATAATATTTGCACAATTCCTCTCCGGATATATCTTCATTGTATATGTTTGCAACAGCACAAGCAGCAACTGCAAGTCCAACAGTTGATTCGTTGAAGTCATGCGGAGTTTCAAGGGAAGTGTATTTTAACTGCTGGAACCACAGTGCTAAAACAATTGCAAGGCTATGAAGGGGTTCAGGGATTAGGTTGTTGTTTGGCAGTGTTTCGAAACCAAGCATAGAAGTAATGACTTCATCTGTGGTGACTTTGTTGAAATCTAAAGAAAGCGGTATTATAGGGATACGATAGATCACTAGTTTATCCTCTCGTCTGGCATATTCAACAACATCAGGATTTAATCCATGCAGTTTATTTTGCATGCCTAAGTTGTGCTCCAACGTCACATATACTTGATAATGTAGTCTTCGAATTAGGAAGCTGGAGTCATAGACAGAAAATGGACACTTGGGATCTTCAATAGTAGTGGGTAGAAATACACCTGAAGACAAATAAACACATGAAGGTGGATTTATCCTACAGCTTCTGAAAGCATCAAGAAGGTGATGAGGCCAACCACTTGTGAAGTCTTCGTGTGATAAATCAGGTGTTTTAGTACCTTTTAGCAAATCCACTACATCTTGAAATTTAAAGTTTTTACTCGATTTTAGTGAGAAAGTGGTAGTTACAAGTGGAGGTTTTGAAGGAAAACTTGAGCTTTTCTGAAGCAAAAAACTCATCACTTCATTACTTTCATGTAAAGGGCAAATAAAACGAGAAACACCAACCATTAAATCTTTCAATATAGAAGCATGTCGACCAATCGGGTAACAGTTGACAATTTCATCTAGCGGCTTCATTGAATCTGGATGGAATTTTGAAAACCAGTCTATGAGAACAGACCATCGTTTATTCACTTGATACGGTTGGTCACTGACTTTAATTCTCTCTTGTAGGTGTAAAGGAATTCGAAGACGAGGAAAAGTATCCACCCCAAGTAAGGTAGCAAACAACGGTAAGTGGAAGTTAGATATCTTTGCCAAATCCGACTGCTGATGAATAAATTTATGGGTTAGTACTGCACTTCCATATTTGTTTTCCAAGTCACAATCGGAGTTTCGACTTGAAGGATTCAATATACTAGGATAAATGCAAGTAAGGTTAAGTGGAACATATGCTGGTGCTACATGTGACTCAGAAACTGAGTCATTTACAGCATTTTGCTTCATTGAAATAGTTATTAGATAGTCGGAAGTCGAAGCAATAACTGGACAGTGTAACAAGGCAGCGATATTGGTACAAACTGGGAAAGACGAGTATTTCGTCTTCACATAGCTCCATTCAAATTCCATTAAAACATCCAGAAAAACACTTGTGGATGCGATGCTCATAATCTGAGGAATTCTATCAAGATTACACAACTCCACAGCATTAAGAATATCCATCAAAGTCTTTGAGGCTCTCTTAATTCTAATTAACACCTGGTTGTCCTGTTAAAAAATTAAAACGATTATACGTAATCATTAACAAAAACCGAAACAAATTTAATGAGAAAATTACATCCATGAATAATCTGTGCATTATGAAGAGAATCAAGTTATTATCAATATATTGGTGTATAAAACCATTCATTACAACTATATTTAAAATAAATTATTGAAAAATGTTTGATTCAAAGTATTTCATATTATGAGTTGCAGGAATCATCCTTGACAAATGTCAAATTAATGCCATGTACTGTTAACTTGTGTTGTTTTCCATAAATATTTGATTTACTACGACGTGTATATTCGAAAAGACTTCTACAATTCTTTACAACTTTATCAGAAACCTCCTGACTACCTCCACTTCCACGGGATCATATCTAACTCATCATCATCATCATCAATATCAACATCATCATATCAACATAGCATTACTACGTAACGGTCCGAGTTGCCGCAGCTCATTTATCAGTACATCAAGTAAGAAAGCAGTGAAGTGCAAGATGAAGATAAGAAAATTTAGTCGAAAGACATACCAAGTACTAAAAGAGAGAAAGGAAGAATGAAAAAATGGTGAGATTCGATATAGCGTCGTTAATATGGGGATAATGTGTGTATACCCACATACTAGTTAACACTTCTGTTAAACTAAGAGCACTCCACCACCATCCTTGTATACCTCACGAGTTAGTTCGTCTGGTTCTGCTGCCCTTCCCCGTTTTAAGTTACCCACAGCTTTCTCGACTTCTGTAAGTGTTGCAGGGAGGGAGGGAAGGCTACCTCAATGTTCCATTCAGGATCCGACTGGATAGCGGGCTGTCATATTCAAATAAATACGTATTTGACATCGTCACCTTCCAATCGACCATAGACAAGTTTAACTACTGCCTATTATCTGCAATCAGTAAGGTGCAGACATACACCAGCCCATGCTAGCGCGTCATCGGAGTCCAAACTCGTATTCCAGAAAAAGCGGCAATCCTTCACCGATCCTTTCCAACGATGCCTCATAGCAATATGATCTATCTATGTCTATCGTTGGTGTGCTGCCAACAGGTGCAATGTGAGATTGTTTCTCCGCATGATCGAAGTTAGTGCTGGCCAAAAACGATCGTCGTTCTCGGTTAGTTGGCATGCGATTTTGTAGATATCTCTGCATTTTGACTTAACAATCTAACATTCTTGTTACCAATGCGTAGCCACGGTTATACTCATTAACAAGTTAATAAGAAAGTAAAACATGGATGATGATAGCCCACATTCCTCGTGGACACCGACTCCCGTTACCTGGAATGACAACTCCCCACAAGCTACTGAAATAATTCAAAAAGCTTGACGATCCCGGTTGTAAAATGTGGTTATTTTAGTTGGTAACTCATACAACATTAAAGTACTGATCAGACTGTATACCTCTTTTGGTAGAACTTATTTGTCATATCATCGTTGCATCAGTTTCTGTAGAATATAGACACAATGTGAAATAGATGAAATCACATATCTTATTTCCTGGGGCAATAAAGCATATCAGAATTGTACAGACGTTAGCATATAATTACATGTCAACTGTGACATTTAGAGCTTAATATAAAATTTTATCAAAGCATACTTACAGTCTTGTCGTGGCGACCCCTGAAGATGAAGTAGGGTTCCACCTCGTGACTCTTTAAATTCAAAAATAATGAACGTATCTTCCAGGCGAATGAAAGATTCTCTCCTCCGTATATCGAAAATTGAAATTCATTACATAAATAACCAGTTAAATCTAAAGCGTCGACAACAAGCTTGGTATTTCTGAGATAGAAAGGTTGCCATGCAGTATGACACATGGACAGTATTTTCTCAAGTCCAAATACTGTCATGTTTCACATGTATTATTTTAAATGCGGAGAAATGTGATCTAAAAGGCCTAATAACTAAAAACGTCGAAATTCTTATTAGTATTAACTTACCACCACTTATAATTATGGAAAATGGTAATGGATGGAATTCAACAACGATAACTAAAACTGTACAACCAAGTGGAAAGAAAACAAAAAAGAACTGGACAGATAAGCTGAACACAAAATGTATATCATGTGCACGGAAACCCATCTCCAATGAATTTTAGAGATCAAATGTACTTTTCTACAGCAAAAGCTTTCGTTTGGTAGGACCGAAATATACACTCACGATAGGATATTGTAGCTGAGAAGGCCGACTCGGGACATCACGCGCCAGGCCCTCGAGTGGAACCCAGAGGGGAAACGACGAGTTGGGCGTCCGAGGGTGACATGGAGGAGATGATGTGAGGAGGAAATGAGAGCTTCTTAACAGTTGTGGTGCCAGGTCCAAAAGACTGCAGAGAACAGAGTGCACTGGAGACGTGCTACTGAAGCCCTATGTTCCACTAGGAACCCAATGGAAAAAATAATGATAATAGGATATTGTATTTGGTGCGAGTTAAGTGAGAATCTAAGATGGTTGATTCACTGTTATTTTGAGATATGTGCTTGATCTAACTGAAGCCGAAGAAATGCCAGGCTTCAGAATTAGCAAAATGGTGTACACATAACCGCTCTTTATTTTTTTTTATATCACACTTAACATACTAGAAGGCAGCAGAGCACATTTCCTTTAAAAATGATAACTCAGTAAGGACTGACTGCAAATGACTTCGATCATGATGAAATGTCAAAGCGGTTTACACAGTCTGTTGTACCAATTTTTATCCGCTGTGGCAGGTGGTGAAGATGATACACAGGAACTTTAGCATTAAATAAAAGTAACCAAGTAACCAAAATCATGACATAAACTTCTCCCATAAAAGTGACATTCAGTGGAATAGCAGCGTGAAATTCATGATCTGAGAACTCTCAGAACAGATATCAGGCGATTTAAACGGGAAAATGGCAACTAGTTTTAACCCATGCTTCAGTTGCTCACCATACACATTAGCCTTTCAACTATAACCAGTTTTGACAAATCTAAATTGATGGCAAGTAGACTTCTTTAGTTAGATTATGATTTTAACATAGACATAGAAGGTTCATTTGGCATTTTCTAACCAATGTAACCTAAGTCACCTAGAATATATTCGATGATGAGTGGGCTAAACAGTCATTCGTTTTTTCTACGTGTAAATCTGATCCACGCTATTCAAAGCGGTAGATAGTCACGCAGTGATAAGTAGTGTTGAAGGATTGCTCGCATGTGATGGGACCTTCAAGTAAGGATGTTTGGGATAAAGTGGAGTACTAGACAGATCGTACAAGCTAAAATCGTTCGTTACTTGTTCAAGACAACCATATTTCATTTTTTTAAACGACAAATACACTTATTAAAACGGTTTACTCAACTTCCCGGCTCCCTCTGAGGTGGTCGACGACTGGAAGTAATTTTCCGAAAGCTTTTTATCTAGAAGCACTGGTTTTTTAATCCTTTTAATGCTAGTTTTCGGAACTGTATACTTTTCCAATGATCGAATCAGTATTGTTTAGGAATAGTTAGATACCATGACTAAGCTACTTTGATGAAACCATCTGCAAATACCGAGTGTTTTAATGCAAACTGAGAGCTTAGAAGTCTGCCAGTCAATAAATTTTCATTCAGCTTTCACCCGACTGAAATGAGATATCACACTAATCAAATCTTAAGCAACGAAAGGAGTTTTGTGCTTTCAAAAATATGCATATTTGCACAAATTTACTCGGCCACAGTAAAACAGTACTATTTATCGGATACATGCGTTTGTGTGCCTAAGATCATTATTGAGCATCCGTACTCCTGTGGAAACATATTTGAAGATGGTGAGTTACCATGATTTTTGCGAATGGGGCAGGTGAAAGCTGTAACTGAAGTTTATAAATACAGGCTCTGTTTAGAGCTTCGGAAGGAAACTTATTTGTATGCTATCACCAGCTTCTCAAACAGGCATTTTTTTATACTCACTCTACCACAGAAGGGGACACAAACTCTAGAATACACAAATGTAATCCACTATACGGAATCAAAGAAGTCAAATAAACATGTCGTAGAAACTCTAATCATTATAAAATTAAGGAGTATACAAACGTAACATACAGTATTCACCGAACAAATAAACAGAAAGCTTATATTTCACACATTTTTATACGACGTTAACAGTTCTCAATAGCACACTTTCCACGCGTCACTGCACTAGCTGAAATCACCAAGACTTAACGTCTAGGTTTGTCAATCTCATCTTCAAAACTGGGCTTAGATATTTGCTTGTTAAGTGTCGTTTGGTGGGTTCATCTGGTGAGAATACCGGGAAGGAGTATACATAATCCTTTTCTTCTCGTACTTTATATTTCTTTTGACTGCATTCACTTATCTTCATCCTTCGCCTCACTACCTTTTTACTTGATGTGCTGATATGAGGTGTGGCAACTCGGACCGTTACGCAGTAATGCCTGGTCCTATGTTGATAATGATGATTTCAAAAGTATGGGGAAGGGAATAGGCTACCATTGAGCAAAGAGCATAGCTTTCAGGAGTCATTTTGCTGATAGCAAGAGAAAACTAGGCGGTAGGAACCGACACCGTTTTGCTGATTTGACTAGAGCTTTTGCCAATGCATACCATCTCTGGAAGAGTTGGACGCTTTTCGCTTGATGGTAAGGTGATGGACTGATTTACTGACGCACAAAGGTAGTATGAGTTAATAAAGTTCTGCCTTTCAGGCAAGCAGTAGAAAGTGTACCTCAGAGTACTATTCTATGCACATTTCTCTTCTAATTATACGTCCAAGAAATACGATTGGACATCAGGTTCTTGTCTGTTTACAGAGTATGTCAAATCGTAGAGAACTAAGTAAAGCAACCTTGACAAGTTAGCTTTACATGCTGAGAGCATCTTACTGTAATGTCTTATTAAATGGTCGCTGGAGAAGATACGGGTTATTCATTCCTTTCATAAGTGAGTGTAGAGACTTATGATTCACTCCGTAGGTGCCATACGTGTTTGGTATTTTGTTCTGTACCATCTGATAAGCAAGGCATTCGTATCACAGACTACTCTGCACTACCAAATATTCCTCGTTGTTGGCCCCCTGCAAATGATTTCACGCTGGCCGCCTTGGTAACACTTCTTTGGATTTTTTAATAGTGAGGTGATCTCACCAACATCGGAGGCTAAGGCGGACCGAAGGATAGGTTCATGATAAACCTTTGAAGTACCGTCCCACCATTGTGATTTCAGACCGAATTACCTGATATTTCTTGGAGTTTACCCAACAGATCTAAGATACCGTTGCAGTGAATCGACCTCAGAATTGACAACAGCTGGTAATGGTATAATATTGGTGAGGAGTCCAATCTAGTTTATGACGGTGGACAATCATAGACCGTCATCAACTCAGCTTATGCTCTACCTTCCTTGCTCATCTTGTGATCTATATCACAATTTTACCGAAAATTGCTTGTAAAAAAGTGATTATTATCAGTATTACAAAATGACTGTAATGTTACAAGGCAAACACACTTTCTTATTAAATTACCTTTGGAAAGATTTGGGTACACTGAAGATACTCTTGGTATTTCGAGAGGACTTACAAATACTTGGGAAACTCCGAGCGCTAGTCGAATGCACGTCAGGTGCCAGTTGCAGGACGCAAAATGTAATATCGCGCGAGTGAGATAATGAGTTAACTTTCGCCGTTTCGATTGGTCAGCATGATATTACCCTCAAAAATGCAAAGGCGCTAGTTTCTAATCTTGTTAACCACTAGGTTGGACTACCTTTAAAAGCCACCATTCTAATTGCTAAGTTAAATCAACCAATCTGGTTGGAATGGATGCGCTTCAAATATCCAATAATCCAATATCTTTGTACAAGGTAGTGTAAATCAATTGACTTCGCGCTCGCTTCTAGGCCTTGCCGAACGGTTCCAGGTCTTTGGTGGATTCCAATGCAGTAGGTCTACCCACTCGACTGCTGTAGCTCTGGTTAGTCCGATGGGCGGTTGGGTGTTACTTAGATTTGTAGGGAGTGTTGTTTGTTTGTTTTTTCTTCCGAGGACTGTGGTGCGAATTGGTTCCTCAAATGTCGTGCCAGCAGACAATTGGTCGGACTGGTTGTAAAAAGGAGATCAGAAATATGTGCAGAGAAATCAAGGGAGAGAAAGTGCAGAGAGGGACAAAATAGAAACAGGATAATGCATAAAAAAAGATTGGGAAAAAGGAAACGGCCCGGAAGAATAAAACGTCGGTAGGTTCATGGGAAATAGGTGACAGACAGAGCTTTGGGATTTGTCCTGGTGCAAACTTGACAGACGCAAAGACCAAACACTAATTATTCGGATTTGTTATATACCCACGAATAAGAGACCAAGGAAGAACACGATAGCGTAGTCGGATGGAATAGTATATTTGGGTGGTTGTGCCAAAATACCGATGCGTTCCAACTAACTGGCTAGACAGTCGAATACGAGCAGTGCAACGTGACACGACAGCGTGCCAAATGGTGAGGATGCTTGACCGGGTGCCTTCAGCTTAGCGAGTGCCGTTAAACCATCAAAGTCAGCACCAATGTCGAAAGTCATCAAACCCTAGGCTATTGATTTTGGGGAAGTGTGTGACGTTGCAGAGTTTTTGTTAGACTTTGACAGCGTAAAGTTCGAAGGAAGAAGAATAATCAACATATTGGGACTAATGGAATCTGGTAATTCTTTTAGTAGGAGACGGTAACTGGTAGGGGGAACGTCTACAGGAAGGTATTAGGTTGAGCAAAGTTCTCAGTGATAGTGGTTTTGCAAAGTGTTCAGTAACGGTTGGTCGTACCGGGTTAGTAAGTCGTGTCAGCCTAGTCCACATCCCAATCGGTTGAGTGCAAACCATGCGTCAATAGACGGAGCAGTAGT